TTTTTTTTTTTTTTTGTAATTTCAGGCTTGTCTACTCGTGCTACACATGAAAGTAGAACAGCAAAGCGTAGTGCTGCTGCTGCTGCTACAATGCTAATTTAGTAGTAGCTCAAAATGACGTGATTTACTGACAAAAAGCCTGTAATTTGCAATGAAATGTATTCTAGTTTCCGATTTTTATATTTTTTTGCATCGCTTCTAAAAAATGCATTACGGTAAGATCAAATTTTTGTGCACGGTCTCTTTGTTCGACGCAATTACAGAACTGCGAAATTTGAGAAGCAGAGGTTTTAGAAGCGCAGTTCGCGGTCGTATACGATGGCTGACAGATTTAAAACAACCAACAAGTGGCACAGGTCAGTTCCTGTTCGACGTTCAGCAGCAAATGCTTAGTTGAAGTATCAAAATTTAATTAAATTATAATACTGGAGAGACATCAGTGCGATTAGCCAGCTTACCTGGAGCTGCTTTGGTTAGGTTGAGGTTGTTGCATAGCGGCGTGTGGCAAACGAATACCTTTTCCGGATCATTTTCATCACAACCATTTTTCGGCAAATCGTCGCTCAATGATGTACCACAGTATGCGCAATTCTTCTTTCCGCGTACTTAAAAATTTCTCAGTAACATTTATATTTTTTGGATTGTAAGTCAGAACCACTGACTGACCAACATTCATCATTATACTGACTTATAGTGATGAATTAGTGTTCTGCTGTCACGATTTTACATAGCGAATGCTCAGAACATGAAAATTGCTACTGGATAAAAAGTTTCCGCTACGATAAGTTCTGAAGAGTACACCAGCGACTAAAAAAAGATTCTAGCTTGTTTTTCAGCAGATACCACAGAGGGAAGCTAATTCTATTTGATCCACGCTAGCAGAAATAGTTGCTCCGTTGATAAAAGAGCTTTCATTGCGATTTCAGGCTAAGCTTATCCTTTCAAAAGAAGGAATCGAGGGGAAGGAATCCGGAAGTTTCAAGTTACAGTTTCAGATTAGACATCATCGAAACATAACAATCACCTGTTACGCATACCGTGCCGAAACATGTATGGGAAGCATCACATGGAATTTCCAGTTCGACTCCTTCAGAGAGCATTTGGGAGCCGCACTGATAGCATTGCAGAGTTCCAGCTGGTTGAGAGAAGTTAAAACTGAAAATAGGGGAACTTTCTTCCGCCATTGACATCACTAATTTCATATGCCTCGAAAATGTTTTCTTTGACTACACGATAAACCACTCTTTTCAAGTTGAAGCCCACTTATCCCATACGCCATAATATAAAGCATCAGCGAGCAGTTGTAGGAGGTAGCATAAAGCAGCTGCTAATTTCCTGGTGTTACCTCCTTTAGTTTTAAATTTATGGAGGAAAACCGCAAATCCAAAGTTTTGGGTGTAGCCTTTAAATCATGGAGGTTGTCCAAAACCCATGTTTAAATTCAAAGCAGCGCAAAAGTTTCTGCCGCCCGTGCAGAACCTGGCAAAAGTTCTATTTTAAAGCCTTTTTGAGTGCATTTGAAAGCTAGTCAGATAGCCTAGCTGTGCCAAACAAAACACCCAAACTCATCTGTTAAACTGATGCTATTAAAAGCGAAATTTGAACAAAAAGTAACTGTAACGGTGTCTTCGTTAGTGCGGCGTTCAGTGCATTTTGCGCATCCTCCACACTGTTGCAAAAATCCGTAGCGCATTCACAGACGCCTTTTCCTGTACTACTTTTGAAAATGCACGTCATGTTGGTTGTAGCGGGCGTAGCGTTGCTGCATCCTGCTTGCCAAGATCCATCTATTGAACCGTCTGTAATCCATAAATACGAAGCTTGCGAGCAGTGCTAATAGGAGCAGCAAAAATCGAAATCCCTAATACGGTGAGCATCCTTGGCAAATCCTCAATATCTTGCAGCAGATTATTTGATCTCTATCCAACATCTTAATTTTTTGATTGGCACTTGCTGGTCAGCGTTTATTGCCCACGCTTTTTTAAACACGATTTTGAATTGCGTGCATTCCGCGCTTTTATTTTTGAGGAGCTTCGGATCGATCAAGCTGCACCAAAGATGTTGTCTTGGACCAGCAACTCATAATCTACTGGTAACTGAAGCTTGTACTGGCTACAAGAGATGAGCCGAAGACTTGCTTCGGTAAAGTTTCACGGAACTAGGGTAGGCTTTCAGTGCCCGCTTATCAATCATTCCACTTCTGTTTCTGACCACCCACCAGTCAACCGAATAAACAAGGACTTGTGGACTTCCCACATAATGAAGCTTGGCTCACCAAATGTGCACATTTTCCCAACACAAGCATTGGCAGTGCTACAGGGAGTTCCATTGTGTGCTGCCACATTGCTGTCGCAAGAGTAACATCCGATAAAATCCTGATCGCTGCTTGTTTGCTGTCCAGATGAAGAGACTAGAGAGCTGCTTGAGAACGCTGCTGCCAGAATGAATAACCCCAGCATATGTGCTGCTGAAAGATCAGTCAAGCAGCGACAGATCGTAAAAA